CTGGCCTTGATCGGGACATGGCTAATGCAATAGGAAAATTTGACAACCGTTTTATGTCGTCACGGATACTTGCGTGACCTTGAAGTAGTCTCCCCTAAAAAGCATGCACATCGTTGCGAGCATTTAGTTCAGAAACTAGATGGGTTTAGGTCGTAAGAAGGGGAGGACTGTGAGCTGCACCAAACGATCTTCACGGTGACTATCTCACTTCAAAATAGCCTACATAGTGTGAAAGACTCCCTTAAGGACATGTATAGATACACATTTTGTTCTGATTATATGACGTTTTTTACATTTGCTCTTTACGTTGCAATATTACTGAGCAGATTTGACTTTAAAATTTCCACAAGACCTCAGCAGTGCATACCAGTGGTGTGCCAGCAATGGAGCCCAGCATCGTCAGCCTCGCACTGCGCGAAGGCCCCTGTATGGAGCTGTCGATTGCCTGTTCCGCATCGGTTGAGGCCGCCAAGTTATTCTTAGGTACGAGAACTTTCTTCCGTTCTGAAAATCACGAAGTTGGCGGACATCTTCGACAGACTTATCTTAAGTGCAGCGGTCCGATGACGGCGGCGGAGTGGCGGTGCTCTTCCCCTGACCCGGAGCGGCGGGGGAGCGGGGATGGCGCTGTCCGGCCCTCCCCGCAGACGCTTGCTCCCGGACCCACCCCGATGTTGGGTGCCGGCGGGCATTCTGACACCACCAGTTGGCTCGCGGGTATGCTCCGCTCGCGTCGGATGGCAACGACGCCCCCCCCCCCCCCCTCCCCTCGCTCAGCATTTTTTTTCCAGTGGATGCCGCTGGTTTGACCAAACCCATCAGTTTTATGTTCAAGATAGAAACTTGTCGGGAGACATCTGGGAAAAATGTCCGTTTACCTGGGCGTTGCGCCTAGAGATATGTCATACGCTGTGATGATTCTGGCGCGGGAATGGAGAAGGATGTGTATTTTGATATCATTTCACAGTGTCCAGGGGAAGCGGGCTGCGGACATCTTTGTAATGGTCTTAGCCCGTATTTTCTCCTCGGATGCATCTGTGTAGCTGGGTAAAATAATGTGATCGTAGGTAGTTTGAGATTCCAGATTACAGCAGGATGGAAAGGAGCCTTCGATAGGTTTTCTGCTGGCATGGTTATCAGAACTATCTTCATTTCGCATTGATAAACGTGGGAATACAATTAAGTCATCCCATCTCACCGCTGTGATATTAAGATTTCTGGTTGTCTTGTTTTGAGAGAAGCTGCAAAATCTCGAAGAATTACGGAGGGTATCACGGCAGGAACATATTTATTTTCGGCCGCCCCGGTACCGCTGTACACATATCGCTGTCCTCCCTCGCAGCGAGAGACGGCAAAAAAGGACAATTGAAAAAAGATACAAAAAATCGCCAAAAGGGGCACCTCTCTCTGGCACGCGTCTTCCGGTTGCGTGCTGAGGCAGTGTTCAACTCCTGCACAACGTAAGGGAATTGACAGTGCTGAACAGGCTTTACAACTATTTACTCAAGTTTGAGCAATATCTGTTTCCAAGAACTAGTTTTCAAACGCTAGCGAATACAGAGCGCGGAATATTCCGCTGCATGCCTAACAGTACGACATTTCAGTCACAAAATGAAATATTTGAAATCACTTCAGCGAACCGTAGAACCACATGTGCTTCCATCAGTTTCGCCAGACGCCCCATGGAGAAACATATGGATGCTTCAGGTGGAAGGTTGGGAAGGTGAGATTAAAAAAGAAGTCAGTAGATGAAGCGGAATTTTCTCTAAATGTGGAAAGCACACATTTTGAAAACAGAGACACAGAGTTATGCGGTTACCAAGAGGGAAACCTTAAGAGAAGTAACATACGTAGGATGACATCAACATCGAAACGACATTTCGCCGATGAGTGAATCCACAATGTTGTTATTCTCCGCTTTGACAGAAACGAGGCCGTAATGAGCGGCATGCATAGCCGAGAAAAACAATCCACACTGTGCTAGACGGGCGTGGCCAGCAACTGTTTGATTCCTTGGTATTAAACACGCTAAGAGAACTACATACACCGAACTGACAGAGCGGGTAGGGAACTCTATGTGAACTCATTTGTGCCAAGCATGTAGGTGTTGAGGAAGCGATATTGGGGTTAAATGAGGTCAAACAGGGTCAAACTCGAGATCGGCATCATTATCATTCGAAGTCCACGCGCGATCAGCTTTAACGTAGATAACGTTTTTCTAAGGAAAAAGGCATATCGGGGTCATATCAGGTAGGTGACTTCATCTGATCATTTGAAAGCTTAAAGTGATTAAACTCTTTTGAGATTGTTTTAATGTTTGAAATTTCAAAATGAACATGAAGAACTACCCTAGATGGCATGTCCCTCTAGCAGAATACTGATCAATGCCATTTAAAGCCCAGCGATCTCCGCTGACGTTGAATAAGTCAACTTAGATGGTCTGTTGGTCATTGTGATTGAGGAGTCCAAAATGAACCCAAATACTGCCCCTTAAAGCAAGTTTTCAGCAAAACATGTTTAGTTTGAACTCGATCAAACTTCCATAGCTACACAAGGTCAATGCAATTTTGCTATTTTCAGTTAAGTTGTCTCATCGTTTAAGAAGCGACTTGAAAGCTGTATGGCTTCGTGTAACATTCTGTTGTCACCTGAGCTTGAAATATTCCCTAAGAATTGCGATTTTTGACAACTGTGGCCTGACTTTAGCCTACTATAGGGGAGGATATGCTTATGCTGCATACCACAAGACCAGCCATTAAACTATTTAACGATTTCCAGCTGTCCAAAGTTGCATGTCGGCACGCCCCACAGGTTTAGATTTATTCTGGAAGAACAGCAGGAGGGCAATCAAATTACCCGCATATCCGCCCGAGCCCATGTTAAAGGTCACAACACCTTGGTAAAGGTCACAACACAGCACGTCCTCTCACCGTGGCCCCGCTCCATGCATACAGCGGTCGGCCGTGGCGGGGCCGCGGAGCATGCCGAGCCAGACCTGCCGACCAGCTGGGACCGACGCCAGCTGGGACCAGCGGCTCTGACCCGGCCCATCCGCCGTCGGGAGCGGCGTGACCTACGTCCCAGATGTCCTCGATGTCGGCGCCGGCGAGCCTCTGTCGTGTCCCGGGTGATACCCACGCCTAGATCCGCTAAGAATCCCGACGAGTTCCACGCCCAATCACGTGCCGAGTCCCGTTGGATCCCGTGCGGAGTCCCGGGCCGAATCCCGTCCAGCGACATACCCGTTGCGCCGAACGGCGTCCGACCTGGTCCCCGGATGGAACGGAGGTCCCTGGGCGGAGCGGCGGTCCCCGGGTGGAGCGACGGTTCGCGGGTGAAGCGGCGGTCCCTGAGCAACGCTCTCATGGTCCCTGAGAGCAGCGGCGGTCGTTGGGCGGAGCAGCGGTCCCCGGGTGGCGCTCGCCTGATTCCCGGGTGGAGCGGCGGTCCCCGGGTGGCGCTCGCCTGATTCCCGGGTGGAGCGGCGGTCCCCGGGCGGCGCTCATTGCCGGCTCATTACCCCGGGAGGTCGGCAGAGCGCGCATTATTCCCGACCACGCGGCCGGGACGCCGCGCCGGCAGTCTGGCTGCCGCGAGCTATTTCTGCTGGCGGCACTCGTCCGACTGTTATTGAGCGAATGCCGGTCTTTACCGGCCTTGGATGGAGCTTGTCACGGGAGGAGACCACATGAGCGGTGACGAAGGGTACTGCGACGCGCTCGCGTTTGTGAGCTAACTTTGTCACGATGTTTTACTGTCTCTCGTGGATCTGGCATTAAACAGATTTACTCTACGTCCTTTGAGCTGTCTCGACAGATGCGGACCACGTAGAGAGTGGTGCGGACACGTCAGTCGTGTTCACGTGAATGCGGCTCGTCCGTCGCAGTCTGCCGCCCTGACAGCAGCCGTCGCTGGCGGGCATCGCCCGCGGCGCTGTCGAAAATAGCCGCCTGCATCTCTGGCAGCGGCGAGACCGGGTGCGTCGGCCTTCTGTCCCTCCCTCTCTCCATCGGTCATCAGCGACGACGCGCGCATCGTGGATATCTGCAGGCGGACCTGGTGATGGATGCGTCAAAGACGGTTCATAGTTGCGAGTATCTTCACGGACAGCTGCAGTTTCCGCTTCCCATTCAGGCAACTCCGGCGGCCAGTTCTCTCACTGACAGCGCCAATGGTGGTGTTCTCAGAGACGGTCCGGTAACGTTACTAATGGTTGTGACCATACAAGGAGATGCATCCGACACATGTGCCCAGGTGCTGAAGACGCATATTCCGCAGATGGGGAGCATGAACTCTCCGCCTTGTCGCCGTCTCATCATGCGCCTCATCCCCACGCCCTGCCACAGTACTTAACCTTTAGTCAGAGGTGCTGCGCGTCTTCCGAGCAGAGTGACCGCCAGGCAGTGACCATTCGCCCAATCAAATCAGCATCAATCGCGCTGCCCGCGCGGCCAGTCCTAGTTATTGCCCCACATCCGACGGGAAACGGAGCGCCATAAGACGAACCGTCTCGGAAAGACGGCGATGGAAAAGTGGAGAGAGAGAGAGAGAGAGAGAGAGAGAGAGAGAGAGAGAGAGAGAGAGAGAGAGAGAGAGAGAGAGAGAGAGAGAGAGAGAGAGAGAGAGAGAGAGAGAGAGAGAGAGAGAAATTGACCGCGCGCTGATATCGTGCCCTGCATCACCTGACCACGCGCTGATATCATGCTCGGCATCACCTGACCACGCGCTGATGTCGTGCCCAACGTCACCTGACCACGCGCTGATGTCGTGCCCAACGTCACCCGACCGCGCGCTGATGTGCCCAGCGTCACCCGACCGCGCACCGTCCGTGTCCCCCCAGGACGTTGCACGTGTCGCTGCTGATCATCACCTGACCGCGCGCCGTCTGTCGTACGTGTCGGTGCTGATAATCACCTAACTGCACGCCGTTCGTGTCTCCAAAGACGTCGTACGTGTCGGTGCTGATAATCACGTGACCGCGCGCCGTCCGTGTCTCCCAGGACGTCGTACGTGTCGGTGCTGATAATCGTGGCGTTCAGCTTGGAGCGGTACCTGGCCATCTGCCATCCGCTGCTGTCCTACACCATGGCCGGCCTGCGCAGAGCCTGCCGCATCATCGCCGGCATCTGGCTCGTCTCCCTGCTGGCTGCCACGCCGTTCGCCTTCTACACAAACGTCCACTACTTGGAGTTTCCCAAGGGTGAGTGGTGAGGAGTCAGGGCTGCACTTCCTCTAGTTTCCTGGGGATGGGATGCAGGGAGCGCTAGGTTCCACTAGCTCGGGCTCATCAAGGTGCGTGTTGAAGAGTGGATGGAAACATTGGTGTGCGCTAACTCGTGTTCCCTGAGGTGAGTGGTCACGAGCAAAGTGGTCCCCCTGCTCAGGTTCCCAAGGGGAGGCTAAATGAAAACGGACATTTTCATCCTGTGCTCGACGGCGGTGAAACAAATTGAAAACCGGGCGGATATCCACGTTCTCCACTGTACAGGTCGTCGAGCACGTTGGCCTGAGCTGTGTGGGATTTCCCGAGGGTACGCTGTGCTTCACAACGTGATGAGACCTGTGCATTTCTGCAAGAATGGAACAAGCAGTAGTTCATTAAAGCTGTTGAGCACACAGGCTTAAGCCAACGCACACAGTCAGAGCGTGCTTCGCGAAACAGCAGATCTCGGGATTCGGTTGGTCGGTTGGTTTCTGTGGTTTTGTGACACACTCAGCAGCTGGGCTTGTATGATGCCGCCTGCCGCTCAGCCCGGCGTTAAAGGCGGGCACACTCAGCAGCTAGGGTTGTATGATGCCGCCTTCCGCTCAGCCCGGCGTTAAAGGCGGGCACACTCAGCAGCTAGGGTTGTATGATGCCGCCTTCCGCTCAGCCCGGCGTTAAAGGCGGGCACACTCAGCAGCTAGGGTTGTATGGTGCCACCTGCCGTTCAGCCCAGCGTTAAAGGCGGGCACAGTCAGCAGCTAGGGTTGTATGGTGCCACCTGCCGTTCAGCCCGGCGTTAAAGGCGGGCACCGCAGGGAAGCGAGCTTCGCATTTCCGGTTTCCCAGATTCAAGTTTCCAGAGTTAGTGATTCAAGTTCCCAGAGTTAGTGATTCAAGTTCCCAAACTTAGTGATTCAAGTTCCCAGAGTTAGTGATTCAAGTTCCCCGAGTTAATGGGACCATTGAACTATCGATACGCCAGACGTCGAGTCTAAGCTTTAGTCCCGCTCGTGTAATGCGTTCAGGCAGGCGCTCGCAATCATCGTCATGTAAAGGCCCGGGGATAAAGCGGGCAGGCCACCGGTCTCGTCCCATGGAGATGGTAGAAGTCATGGGTTCGATTCCCATCAAGCGTCAGGATTTTCCCAGCAGGCAACGGAAACGTTTTTTGAGAACATGGTAGGGACTTACAAGGCAAGTCAAACATTTCCAACGGGTAGCATTGTACTATTAGCCTGCACTATAGGCAAACGAGCAATTGCATTAGTCGGCGTTCAAGGAGCAAAGGCATCTAGCAATTTTGGCCATACTGCGTATCTATTATCGCTAGATAGTCATCACCCACGTGACATTACTGACAGACTGCAAAAGGTAGTGCCGTAGGTAGCAGCCTAAAAGAGAAAGATCGTTGGGAAGAATTCCAAAATAGCAAGATCGCGAATGTAGTCGCACTAGGGATATCAGCTGTAAAGATACACGAACTCGCCGTATAATCGGGGCAAACCGACACGAGCTACGGATAACCAGTTACTTGCATGGGACACACTAAAACGCAGGTACTGTCACTGGATGGGGGGGGGGGGGGGGCTGAATGAAACATTGTAGTGCAAACCCGAAAAGTAATAAGTAGTGGGCTCCACGGGGCACAGGTTTGGTATCACAATCTGCAGTGGGTCCCCCCATGAGCGTGATGTCTGGGTTGCACGGAGGGTGCAGGTGTAAGTTTGCGATCGAGTTTAGCAGTCGAACTTCACGCACGACGCGGGGTTCATATCCCAGCAGCTGGACGCTGGTCTGAGTCTGACTCATTAATTTCACATCACATGATTCAGGCTTAAGAGTCTGAGCTCTTCCTATCAGTTTCACTTCCACTAAGTGTGAGCATACAGTTTCGTGCCAAATTCCATGGTGTAAATCACCATGGATGTGGTCTCGAGGATAAATGCACCCAAACATTTTAAGGTATTACCTTTTGCTTATCTGCAGCTAGTTGCTGATCTGACTTACCTAACTGCGCAATGTATCTTTATCCGTTAATTTTGGATACTTCGAGTCTAAGAACGGGTTCCAGGCTGCAAATGAATTTCGAGTCAAGGGCTCTTTCAGGTAAGGTTTGGTGCCATAAATGAATGCTACCATTCACGTAAATTTGATACCGTTAATTTGATGCTATCATTTTTAGACGGTTGAATCCCAGTATCAGCCTGATCCTCCGTCACTGAACTAGTTTCCCGGAGTCCAAGAGCGAACGATGGAATCTGTTTTATTCCAGCGGGACTTGAGCCCACAATGTCCCGATCGAATGCGGTAAGGTTAATTGAATTGATTTATAGTCGCCGAAGGTTTGAATTTCGATCCAATCTATTACAATTATAATGTCATTTTCGACATTTCCGTCAAAACTCTTCGGCAAAATATGCTGTCTTATCTATCATCGTCTTAAAACTGATCAGTGTCATTTATCTAGCGCCCGCTCCATCGGTCGAGACCAACACAGAAATCTACCGGCATCATACAAACTGAGCACCGAACGCTTGACACAATGTGGATCTGGTCTAGTTTGGTTCATGCAATGCCCCTCTTGCCGCAAGCGCTTCGGGCATAACTGTCATATGATAAAATATTAAATTTACGTGGTCCAAGTCACTTAGGTATTCAGATACAAACAGTACTGAGGGTGCTGAAAATCCCCCATCACGAGCGGAAATCATTCCTGGAGTGGGGTTTTAAGTGCGAAGTGTGATGCGAGTTTTCGTGCGTCACTACGTGGGCATTAATTTAGTGAGCACTAAATCGACTTTTTATCAAGGTATGCACGTGTTACCTGTCAAAACCATCAAACGTGGGTGTGAGCATTCCTACCAAGTGGTCAGGTCACATGTGTCACCACATATCATGCACTGGGCATTTGTTCTGTGTCTTATGATTGCAAACGAATTGGGAATCATGCACGGCTTCATCACAACAAGATTGTGCTCTAGACGTGCGAGAACACCTCATATTTTGCTATTTGTTTTCTCAGTGAGCAGCAATCTTGTTGCGCTGTAATACAAGAACAGTATCTTATAACCATAACTACGTAAACAAACATTCCCAAGCACGTCCACGTGCCAGTCCCGTGATGATTATGTAAATGCTTTCGCCCAAAACACTGCTCAACGTTATTCATAGGCTGTCGAGTATGAAGTGACAGCTGGTCGGAGTGGGTGGTGGGATGGGGCGGAGGAGGGGGAATCCGTGGCAGTTTGAGCTTGTGTCGCCCGCCGCCAGCCGCCGCGTCGTCGGCGCCCGTCAAACCTGATGGCCGCCAATACCTCAGGCCGCCTGCGCTTTAGTACGTGCGCAATTTCGTCACGCATTCAAACGAGGCCCGCGCCAGAAATGTCTCGCGGGCGCGGTGTTTGTCGCTGCCCAGGGATTGACGCTGGTATAGAGGGAGGAGAACGCGCCTTCACTGTAGACGTGATGATGCGGGGCGGAGGGCATGGAGGATCAGAACGGGAGAGGGGGATGGAGGAACAACTTTGCTGACGTGACACGAGCAATCGCCCGTGTCACCTTTGCACACGTGCGGAGGCCATTGGTCCAATAGGCGTCAGGGCCAGAACCCTAATTTCGCAAAATGAGTCGGAGGAGGGGGGGGGGGGGGGGAGGGCGCTGAGCAGTGCAATGTGATGCCACTTACCCTTCGAAACACGCCGAAAATGAAATTTTCTCCGCATTCGACAGACTTTCTTCCCGAGGTTTGGAGGACTGGAATCCAAGTTGGAGTAGTGTCGGTTTAGAGCCCGCCCGAACTGAATATACAACTGCATTCCTGGTCACCGCTCATGATGCTGCAGCTCGTGTCTGTGACTAACGTCTTTCACAAGTCGATACGGAGTATTTATGTTCTTCACCTTAATGTGCACCTGACAAATATTGACACCTAAAAATTTCAGGTGGGCACGTCAAATGCTGGTTTATGTCAAGCAAAAAATAGCTCGCGCCTTTATCGCGTTGAGCTTAGCTTGCCAGTGAAGTTCTGCCGCCCTCCCCCCCCCCCCCCCTGCTTGTAAAATCCTGCGTACACCACTGGTGACATCAAAGTCCAGACTGCTAGCGAGTGAACTTAACTTGTGATTTGTTCGAACTGAAGCACGCGACACTGAAGCAATGGCCGCCGTAGTCATGAAGCAATATGTGTTTCAGATTCTGGGATGTATCTAGAGACGATATGCTACATGCCGAACGAGTGGCCGCTTACATTCAGCTCCTTCGTCTTCTTCATCGCCCCAATGACGAGTCTGCTTTTCGTCTATCTCTGCATTGGAGTGCAGGTAAGGAAGCCTTAAGATTTTTGAGGAAACCGACTGATCGTGGTGTTGCAAACGTATGTTTGATCCGTGAGTCGTATCAACGTGTGCATAAACCATTGACGTTTTACATGAATTCACTTGGGGGCTGGAACAGTGTTCCATACATTGTTCTGTGTTGTATCCAATGCAATTGTGGAAAGTCTCGACGTATGATTGCATATTTGCGGTGCCTTCAACAAATGTTGTGGCCAATTCTCTTGGCAAATTAGAAATGCAACTGCGCAAGCATTTTCCATAATTCGCCTTGCCAGTGGAGATGCAGCTTGTGATGCCAGATGATAGGGACGATCATCTGGCATCACAAGTCATCACATCACAACTGCATATTAACAATTAAATTGCAAACGAGAGGGGTGCATTACAAGTGTCATGAACAAATGCATGCGTCAGAGCGGCGAGTCTTTTATTTTCTCCCCATCCACGAGGTTTTATTGCAATTATTTTGCACACCATCCATTTTTTACTCACAAGGCCACCCTCCACTGAGAAATTCCCACACGCGAGGAACGACTGCATTGAAAACTTACTGATTCAATTCGACATGATCAGAAATTCCACATCTAGCTCAAGAGCTGCCTGTCAATCGGATTGGAGGCGCCAATCACGTAAGCCGCCTGGTTTTTTTTTACCGTGCCGACCGCGTCTCCGCCAGCGCGGGTGCCTTCGACGACGAAATGAAATCGGATTTGACGCGCGTCGAGAAATTCGCCAGCTCGCTTTCCAGCCGCCTGTGGCGTTTGTTCAGGGCTCGCCGCGGCGCTGATCCTCGGTTAATTGGTGGCCGACCCGGGCCGAGCTCGGCCGGTCCCCAGACGGGCGCTGTTCGCGCGGCGCCCAGCGGCGGCAAGATCGATCTCCCGTCGGCCGGGATATGTTTCCGGCGGCGTTTTTACAGCGGTGACCGGGTGCTCCCGACGCTGTCGATGCCTGGGTAGGAGCCGGGCGGGCGGCGGCGGCGGCGGGCGCGGCCGGGCGCAGCGCGACGCTTTGTGTTGGGTCCGGGGTCGCGGCGTGACCCCCTTCCCGCGGCACAAAGCGGAGACACCAGGTCGAGCCACAAGACGATGGCGAACCTTGAACCGCGACATCGCGTGCCGCGTGCCGCGCGTCACGTACGCGGTACATGCCCACACGTGCCACCGCACCTGCGGACGGTAGCTGCGAGTGCACGTGCCAGACGGTGGGAGGGACGTCAGCAGCGTGGCAGGACACAGTGAGCACCCGGCCGGTGTCCTGGCCTCGGTGTAGTTACTGTACGACGGACGTGCAAGGCAACACGCCTCGTATATCCTCACGCGATTCCCTCTGATCCATACTTGCACTGCAAACATCCGCGGTACGAGGTAGCCGGGCGTCTTTTCCCGCGAAGGGAGGATGTGTTAGCCTTCATTACGGTCACTGCTCTGACCGATATCGGCAGCCAGTCCAAGTTGTGGTGAGGTGTGGGCGGAGCCTTGCACCTCTAAGCTTGATCGGCCGCATTTTTTTTTGTCGCGGTTCTAGTGAAATCCGAGATCACTAGAAGAGCCAGTACAAACCACTCAAACTGCAAGTGAACACGGATTTTACCAGAAACTAGTTTGGACGCTTACAACAAATTTTATGAAGCTCCGTCCTGGAAGTACGATTTTTGAACATCGTTTTGGATTTCGTTTTCTCTATGCAATACCATGCATGGAAGCAATGGATCCCGTTGAGTTAATAAGCTACTTCTCCTGCTTCCTCGATAAAAGACTGGCTTCAAAATTCCCACCAAGAGGAAACGTCAGTCGGTGGTTGCTTGGCTCGCCCCTGCAAGGTCTCAGTGCCTACGTGCCTACCTACTGATATGATGCATGCACCGGTTTATTTACGATATCGCCTCATTCACATCTCGAACATGACGTAATCTGGCGTCGTACGGAACACAGGAAAAAATACATCGCGGTGTCATCATCAGTGGAGGGTTATTTTCTGCAGTGGTGCTCTGTTGTCTGCACGAGGGCCCGAACCTTGCTGGCGCCCTCCATGTTTGACACCATTCTGAGTCAGTTAGGCCTTTCGACCAGCAGCCATTTCCGCTGAAACACTCAACATTCGAAGCGAGACTCACTAGCTCGCGGTAGCCGTTACGTGACGTCCACTGGCTTGGCTTTATCCGCGGTCTGTGGTGACATCTTAAGGATCTGGGACAGTGCCCAGGAACACGGTTGTTGCCGTATTTCCATCCGCAAAACGTGTGAGAATGGGACCGCAAGTGTGCACATTGCAAGCAGATATGAAGCAAAGCGTGCGGAGACTCAAGTTTTTGTAGACAAAATAAGCAGTTTCAAGCCTTCTAAACCAACAGCTGGTACACCATGTGAGAGCGTAGGTAATAAGGCCTTGCATAAGCACCGATACGAATATGAGTGTTGTTTGCTCTATGCGAAAACCACCTAAAATACGCATGCTCGTAGTTAACAGCGTTGGAGGCTACGTTAATGCCAAGCAATATCGACATCCCATTCGCTTAGCTATTTGGGTAACATGTCGAGAAAAGCAAGTCCGCCTGCGATAGATCACTAACTCGTGATAGATCACTAACTCGGTACCCACTCCATACCAGCATCCAAAAGTATAGATGCCATTCAATGGAATGTTCTACATTTGAAGCTACTGAGGCAAGCATCAGATGCGATGAAATTGCTCGCTCGTAACCATTGGTAGACTTTTAAGGGCAACAGACTGGTCTAGGCAACGCATATCGCAATTTAGTAACTAAACTCACCAGTACGTCATTGTTTGATCACATCATGGAGTGGGCGTGTGACGTCTGAGTACCTGCCAGGATGGCCGCGTCACTTCTACCACTGCAGCGGATGAACTGACTCACTTTCTAACGCTTCAAGCTGTCGAGAGGTGACGTGCGTGTTGTCGCGTGTCTTCGAAACCCTGATACCGTTACGTGCACGTGTTTTAACCCGTTCTCGTGGTGTTCTTGTATACTTGCCCGTGATTTTATATTGTTTGCTCGTATGCACAAACGCAGTGATGGCCTATTCTTACGTTTCTCCATTCCCAGTTTTGCCTTCGTCATAACTCATACCCTGCCCAAATTCCTGTATTATGTTGCACTCAGCGTATTTGTGTTCGAAATTTGCATTCACGCATCAAAATGGTCCAGGACTTACTGATCGCTGCTGATTTCCAGAATGGTGCTGGCGCACGCTAGACACGAATAATTCGATGATCATGTTGGTTCTTGGTATTGAGCACTGAGGTCTTGGCCAATGAGGTGGTGGTATTTGTGTGACGTTTGTATGGATTTATGAACGTTTGTGTGACCATAAAGTAGTCTGCACGAAAAAGGCTGCAGAAGCAGGCAAGCGGTAAATTTATAAACAAAAAGGTTTTAATTCCATCCTTTTGAAGGGCGTGGCTGTGAACTGCACTAAATGATCGTCAAAATGGCAACCTCAGTTCAAAACCCCATAAAATGTGGAAAACTCCCTTTAAAACTATAACACATTGAGTTCTCCACTTATCATGGCTGAAAAGGCCTCGGCCGTTATCTTTAAGGCTGCTCAAATTATGGCGATCTCGTTACATTTGTAATCCTATTCCATTGAACGCAAAACCGGATCAAGAGAACATCTTCAACGTGCTCCTCAGCTGAGCATGTCACCGACTCCTGAGATCTGGGGTGGCTGAGCACCGTAAAGTCCCGCCCTCCAGTGCCACTGACAGGCTCTTTTGTTCACTTGAGTGTCCACAATCGCAGCGGTAAAACAGCCGGCCCGAACTGGCGCCTCGAGGCGTCGTGACGTCACTGATGGATTGCCGGGGCCTAATGGCCGAACGCCTACGGTGTTGGCGTGCTGGCGAGTGTATCGTATTCACATTCGCTCGCTCTCTCGCTCTCTCGCGTTAATCTGCGAACGATGTGGCTTCCTGTTGGAGTGGCCGTTGGCGCCAGGACAGGCGCTGGGATGCCCCGCATGCCAGAAGGGCAATCTAAAGGTCAAGTTTCGAGCGACACCGTGGTGACCTGGGAGCGGGCCGGGCATGCGGTATGCGCAGCGGTGCGGAGCTGCCGCCCGTCTACTGCACCCTCGTCTGGCTGGAGCACATGTCATTTTTCTTCCACAGCGGTGCTCTTCGTGGCCTGTTGACATCGTGAAGGGGCAGGTCATCGAAGTATATAGGTGCAGCAGAACTTAATATGGAGAAGCGTGGCATGTTAAGTGTTATCAGGCTATTACACAGTAATCTACATCATGCCGCCCGGCAGGGCATGTACACTGGATTGTTCGTGGTCTGCGTTTTCGTGGCAGGTGCTAAGTTTGAAACCAATCATATACTAAATATGCAACGTTGAAGCCAAGTTGGCACTAAAAGGAAGCATTGAAAACAAGCACGCATTGAACAGGAACACGTATTAATACAAGCACGTTTTAACGTTTGTGATTTTTACCTACACACCCACGCACGATGTCCTTTATGACGTCATTTTGAAATAGCTTGGGTTGACCTAGCCACTTAACTCGACACACGGCGGCCTGCATGCTCATTTTGAGGCACAAGTTTCCGGTTGCTGATTTATTCGCTTAGGCGCTACATCAGAAAAACGGAGGGAGATGCGAAAAATGTCTCCGCAGTTACCTGAAGTTAAATCGCACGTTCCATTGGAGATGTCCTTAAAAGTCACGCAATTGTATGTGCATGAAATAAAGATAGTCTGCAAGACCCGATATCCAAACACGAAAATTGTTAAGTGAGTCGGCTGCTGGTTTAGCGTGAGCTAAAGAAGTGCTGTACTACCCATGGTGCCATGTACCCTTGCTTTGCAAGCCGTGGTCACACACGATCTGGGCGCGTCCGTAGTCATTCCGTCGACAAGGTGTGTGCTCACCCGTGCATTGCCTGTGGCTGCCCTTAACTTACGGTCAGCTAATCTATTGCCTAGGACCTCACACCACCCACGACCACGGATGTAAGCA